GGGGTTTCTTTTCGCCTTCGCTCTCGTGGTATAGGATGGCGTTGAAGGAGTTCTTCTTCCCGCTCACCCATCCTTTGCCCGAGTATTCGATCTTGGCAACGTAGCCGGTGGAACTAACGATCTGAGTATGTCGGTTGAGCTCGACGAAGGGGGTTCCGTAAATTAGGGATTCGATGTGCAGTGACGGGAGAGTTATGAGGTATGTTTCCCGTTCTGGGGATGGGTTGGCTGTGGTAGGTAGCGGAGTGAGGGAGTATATGGCATGTCCGATTTGTTTCACGTTTATGGTACTCGAGAACGAAGCTTTCTGGGCGTTATATCCTTGTAGCTGAACGCCACGGAAAACCAAAAAGATTCAAGTTCTAATGTCAACAAGTTGCATCTCAAACTTATCGAGTGGAATGATGGCTTACCTGCACACCATGCTTCTCATTCTCGATTGCATAAGCCGTTACAGGTGGATGATGGCTACCAGAGAGAGTAAGCATTTCCAGCACACCACAAACTCTCCGGAAAATTGCTGGGAATCAGATAACAAAAAGTTGCACTAACGAATTACGAACCTTACTTGCTCGCTAACAAGTCGTGTTTCTCCAACGTCGCCATCATCCTCCCACTTCCCCAGAAACAGCTCACCCAAGAACGGATTTAGCGGCTTCTTCTCGCTACCCAACTTCTCGCTACGGCTACAATATTGCTGATGGAGCGTGCTAAGGAACCATTTTAACACAAGGAGGGCACGTTTCTCGGGATCGGGCTCTTTGGCTGGTGCAACAAAGATCTTTGGATGCTCGGCCCAGTAAGCGGAGTATTCGACGAGGGAGGTGGCGGAGAGGATAAAGGGCGGAGCGGTTAGGGAGGAGAGATCGCCGTTAAAAGAGGCGATTGACTACAAATCGAAATGTCAGAGAAGTATTTCAAAGGGCAGATGGGATATGTTCCGCAATATCATTTTTCTTTTCTTGCAAAAAATGTACTCAATTAACTTGTCTCCCCCTCACCTTCAAGAACGACGACCAGGAACCCCGACTGCCAGCGGGGACACCCGACCCCTCATCCTTTGGGCTAGACATTGTCTAGGAATAAGGTTCAACAAGCACAAAACCAAGATAGACAAATGAGCGCAGCCGAATGAGATCGGATAATATAGCTAGGACGGAGGGAGATCAAAACTGTGCGG